TTTTTTTTTTTTTTTTTTTTTTTTTTGCGTACTATAAGGTAACTCTAATCCTCCTCCAACGATCTAACTTTTTGATGTAGCAAAAACCCTTAAATCAAAAAAATTAACACTCTTTATACAAAATTCGAATTAAATTACTGAAATTAACCTCTCCTTATACAAAATTTGGATCAAATTACGTCTTACTCTCAAAGATATAGAAGCAAAATTTGGAACTTGTTCTAAATTGAGTCCTTCCACAATCGAACTTTACTCGATTAAATAGATCAGATGTAATTCTACACAAGAATTGCTTGAAACTTAGAAATAGCAAAATTGATACTCGGATTTCTGAGAGAAACGTCTCAATTTGAGATTTCAATTTCATTCATCCACGAATCTCCTTTTTACCTAACAATTTGTGGGTATTTATAGTCTTTCGACCAAAGATGTTTGTGGCCGGGATTTAATCTCGATTCCCTAAGTAAATTTTACTATTATATAATTTATGAAATTAAAAATAATATTTTTAACAAAGGTTGTTGTGTGACGTCTCAATTTCATTCCTCCACGAATCTCTTTTTTACTACCAATTTGTAGATATTTATAGTCTACCGACAAGATATTTTCGGTCGGATTTAATCCCAATCCCTTGTCTCCACACGACAAAGTAAATTTGACCATTACAAATTTATAAAATTAAAAATAATATTTTTCAACAAAGGTTAATGTGCGGCTAAAGAGAGAAAATTTTAATAATTATAAATATCAAAATAAATAAAAATAAATAGACATAGAATATCAAAAAGATATACAATTTTTTTTTCCTAATATAAATTATTTGATGAATATAATAATTAATTTTTAAAATTTAAAAAGTAATTATTGGATTCTTTTGTTTTCATAGATCTCAAATTTAATAAATTTTAATTTTAATTTTAATTTTTTTTATTTCGTAACCTAAGAAGTTCTGTTTGTTTATTTTTTACTTTTCTAAAAAAAATATAATTTTCATTAGTTTTTTGTTAAATAAATTTTAAAAATATGAAAATTATTGTTATTATTCAATTAATAAAAATTAATTTATTATTATTATTTTTTTAATAAAAAAAAATACCAATTTGAAGAAACAAACCACCGAAATTAGATATTTTAAGGACAAAAATGGAAGGGTGAAAGTAACCAAAATGTTATTTTAACAAAATTATTATTATTAAAAAAAAAGGCGCTGTAAACTCAGCTTCGGCTTTTGACTTTTTTGGACTCTCAGCGAAGCGAAGCTTCTTCGCTCTCTTCCCAAATCTGCCGTTCCTTCTTCCATCTCTTCTCATCCTTCCGTCTTTCTCTCTTCTTGTAATTTTGCGCTCTTTAATGGGTTGTGCCGGATCGTCGCAGGCCAAAGGCGACGGTGAGATTGTCCTATTACTTCCCTTTTCATATTCTGATTCTTTTCCGAGATTCTTCTTCTGGGAATTGAACGATTTCATCTTCTTTCTGATGCTTAATTTTGGGATTTTATTCGTTTTCAATTCTTCGATGAATTTGGCTTTGATCCTACTTTGATGAAAGTGGTTAATCGTGTTGGGTTTATTGTGTGTGGAATGTGAGATGAGAATTTGTGGATTTTAATCGGCTTTGTTGTCGAGCGAATTGATTGTTGGCATTTTGGTATTTGTGATTCACTGATTGGCTTTTAAGCTTAGAACTGATGATTGGTTTTGTTCTTAGTGTAGTTTACGTTTTTATTGCGCTTTTCGTTTTAGGACAATTGGTTTGGAGGTTTTTAAGCATGCAATTGTTGGTATTGATGAGCTGAGATTGATTAGTTTCTTGTTTTGTTGTAGTACTTGATTTCATTGCTTAAGCTTTTAATTGGGACTGCTAATTTAGGGAGGTTAATTGTTTGCATCTCATACGCCCCTGCTGTTAGATGCTAATTCGGCTGATCCCCTCGTGTTATCGTGTTTCAAAAGTCGATATGATACTATTTTGCCTCGTGTAATCGAGTTTCAAAAGCCGATATGATACTATTGTGCCTCGTGCAATCGAGTTTCATAAGCCAATATGATACTATTGTGCCTTGTGTAATCGAGTTTCAAAAGCCGATATGATACTATTGTTCAATGAGATGATAGAAATGTTTGGAGAAATTATCATGTTATTGGGGAATTTAATGTTAATGTTCTTAGCGAGACAGCAAGCACGGTGGCTTACTGTGTTGTAATGTCGATGTGATTAGTTCTATCATTGATCATACCGTTAATCCACGCACTTCAACTTCTTTTCTGCAATCATAGTTCATCAGCTGCTAATGTCTAGAGTTGTAAGGAACTTATGCCATCCTTTTTAGTCACTTAAAGAATTTTTGTAATTCAGGGCCCGTGAAAAAAATTCGGAAGCCTAAAGCTTGGAAGCATCCCCAGCCAATAACAAAGACAGATCTTGCGCGGATGCGTGATGAATTTTGGGATACTGCTCCTCATTATGGTGGCACAAAAGGTATTGCTGTAATCTTGAACTTTTTTTTGGGTCTTGCACAATATTTCTGGTTATAGGTGCTACTAAATTCAAGCTAATTCATTGATTTGGATATCATATTTGATGACCAAGGTAACTGAGATTAGTATTACTGAAAGAAGTTCTTAATGTTCATGCAAATATATGATTCAGAAATCTGATTGCACTAATTTTATGATTCAAGGTAATGTGCCAAGAATTCATTGCCTAGTTAGTCCTGACTAGTGAGAAGTAATCTTCTATATTTAGCACGTTACAACTGTGAGATCCCACGTGGTTCGGGAGGAGAACAAAACATTCTTTATAAAGGTGTAGAAATCTCTCACTAGCATACGCTTTTTAAAATCCTGAAAGAAAAATCCAAAGAGGACAATATCTACTAGCGATGGGCTTGGGCTATTACAATAACAGTAAAGGAAATTGATTTTGTATTATGGATCTCCAAAGGTGATCTCTATTTAAGACTATGCTATTGAGTATCTTCCATCACCTCATTTGTTAGAACATGCGTTAGAACATTCGTTGGTTAGTGATGATTAAATCTGTCAAAAATACTTACTAGTTAGGTGTGTTAGTTAGTGAGTTCTTACGTATCTCCGTTTAGAAATGTAGACAGAATCATGCACAAAATCAAAATACATACCTCTAGATAGATTAGAATATGTTTAGCAGAGTGTACATCGTGAATGGAGTATAACTATCCAATGTATGCCTATCTTCTTTCGTGTATGGATGTCTCTAATTGTAGCGACATTACAATATTTTGGCTTTTAAGATGATGAAAGAGATCTTAAATTCTTTAACAGCCTAAGCTCCCGCTAGCAGATATTGTTTTCTTTGGACTTTCCCTCAAGGTTTTTAAAACGTGTTTACTAGGGAGAGGTCTCCTTACTCTTATAAGGAATGCTTCGTTCCCCTCTCCAATTAATGTGGGATCTTGCAATCCACCCCCTTTGGGGGATGCCGGCACAATACCAGTTTTTGGCTCTGATACCATTTATAACAACCAAAGCCCACCGCTAGCAGATATTATCCTCTTTGGGCTTTTCCTTTCGAGCTTCCCCTCAAGGTTTCAAAAATGTGTATGCTAGGGAGAGGTTTCCTCATGCTTCGTTCTCCTCCCCAACTGACGTGGTATCTCACAAATTCAGCAGAATTTGAGGCTTTTAAGTTCAGTTCAGCTTCAAATTTCGTTTCATACATTTTGCATATGAAGCTGCACATCTTCATATGCAAAATTCATATGCACATATTGATGTTAAGCATGATTCAAGGTTGTGGAGTAACACATGTACAAAATAATTCATTAGACCAAAGTTAAGCTCCATCTAATTTGCAATATGGTTAAGAAGCTGACATCAAATGGCTGAATACCGGCATGAAAGTAGAGAGAGAAGTTTTAGTTTGATTTGATGAAGAGTTGATATTAAGTAGAAGATGAAAGAAGCAAATCCCTGAGTGTGGTTAATAACAATAGAAGTTTGTGTATTTTGTGGAGAACAGAGATATGGGATGCACTTCGAGCTGCTGCAGAAGCTGATCTGACACTAGCACAAGCAATAGTGGATAGTGCAGGCGTCATTGTACAAAGTGCTGATCTAACAATTTGTTACGATGAAAGAGGTATTTACATTTACACCCTCCGTCCCTCTACTTTGGTTGATTCAGAAAAAACACCCCACAATTTATAAGAATAAAACTGAAATGCAGGTGCAAGATACGAACTGCCCAAGTATGTTTTGAGCGAGCCAACCAACTTGATTTGAAGTAATAAGCAATGAGGAATTGTATGTTTTGCGTGCTAAATTGATTGTAAATCATGTATATTACAACCAACTGTTTCATACCGTCTCTCACATTGATGGATTGGATTGGGCTTATTATTATTATGCTAACTCACTGTAGCTTCCTTTTGATCGAATCAAGTGTCTATTTGGAATTGTCACTTGTTGATGCCACCCCCAAAGACTGGAATATTGCTTTACCCATCGCCATTTCTTATTGCTCTCTTAACTATTTTTAGTACCTTCTTTTCCATACAAATGGTTCTGAATTTTGAGTTTTATACTTTGAGACTTATCTCATAATATCCGATTTAAATGGGTTTTTAAGGATCTGAATCGGGGATTGCCATGTTTACTTTCAATGCTTAAACAATTAATTATATGTTTCATATCATACTATCTCTCGTATTTTGTCGACAATCAA